ATGAGAGAAATAAATGTATGGCAGACCAGCACGGTAATTGTTCGGCTACGGAGGCAGTTAATAAATATATTAATATAGCCGAACGGCTACCATATTGGTCTGTCACGCAGAGGTCCCGGGTTCGATTCCCGGGCCGGGAAAAATACTTTGTATGTTCTACATTTATTTTTCTCGTGCTTTTGGGCGTGAATTGTGGTGTTCTATGTGTGTCCATGGCATCCGCGACACAGGGTGTCCTAAGTGCGAGGCTATGAGTGTGTTGAAAAAAAAACCCTCAGAACGTTACTATTTATAAGAGTAACATTGGAACTGTTATAGACAGGCGTGTCGTTTACCACTAGGCGCACGACTTGAGTGGTCGTATCACTTGGTATGAGCGTGTGCGTTATATTATAATAACAAAGGTCAAACACTTAGAAAAAAATCCTTTGATCCGGCCGGATTTGAACCGACGTCTTCTAGCAAACCGTGTCAGATGCTATGCCAAGTAAGCCACGGAAGGAACCAGCGGACTTCATGAATTTTTCTATGTGGTTGTTGCAGTTTATAAAAAGTTAATAATAATAGATTCTAATTTGTAGCATTAAAGAATATATGAGTATAGATAGCTCAATGAGACAGGAAGTACGAGACGATTTCGTAATATCCCCTCATCCACTAACATAACAGGCTTCCGGAAAACTCTGATTAGAGTTCTGTCATCTACAGTGAACGGTACTTTTGATGTAAGGATTTTCCTTCCTCTTTCTTATTAATACTTTACAAGATAACTTATGTTAGATATTTAGGTGGTAACTTAGCAACTTCTTTTCAACAATTTATACACAGACAGTTTCTAGTCATTTCGCTCATTATATAACCTCAAAGGTTTTTGGTTGATTCAGTATAACAATGAAAGTGTTAAATCAATTATTTTGGAAAAAATATATAGTACGAGTATATTGCAACTCAACTCTACACCTGTCGACCTTCATGAGAGAAGACTTTTGGCCGAAGGGTGTCATGTACCGGCGTTTCCGAGGACGGCTACCGGACATCCACGTTGCGTCACACGTCGAAGTACATACGTGTAAATAAACAGTGTTATATGTATATTATCATGTTATATTGTATTTATGATTAGTCCGTAAGGTATTTATTTAATATTTCTGTTATTGTTTTGTTATATTATATGTATGTTAGTCTGTAAGGTATGTATCTATGGGTCCTAGTTGCCTGAAATAAATACATAAATAAATAAAGTAACTTTTTTATTAAAAAAAAAACCGATCTCAAAACTTTGCTTATCGCCTTTTTTCGTTACGAACTTCTTTATGCATTTCATATTTTATTTTCTGTTTGTCATGGCGACGGCGATTTGTTGATTACATGAATTGTCGAGACCTCGAGGGTACACCCTTTCAAACAAAAGAAGAATGTTCAAAATCGGTGCACAAATTGGTGAATACCGGCCATTTGACGATTTCCTTCGATTTTCATGAGATCCCCTCATCAGATACTGACTTGGTGACAATGGAACCACAAAGAGAGTGCACCCTTTCAAACAATAAAGAACTTTCAAGATCGGTCCACAATTGACGGAGATATCTGAAAACAAACATACACTCGAACGTGTAACTTAGTTTTTTTTTGGTTAAAAAATGAGAATATACAGTGATTAGTATTCGGTGTGAAAACACGATTCCAAAAGAATTCACGATGGGAAAAAGACACAAACTCATTATTCTATAGGTACTTTACACTCAGAATAATAACGCAACGCAAATTGAAGCGCTCCCAAAGGGCCTACACGAGCGGGCGGGCCTTCAGTGCTCAAAGTCAACTTGCACCGCGAACAGCTCCAGAATTTTAGCTAAAATGACGAAATGTGCGGTAAATGAGTGTAAAAATACGTCAGACAAACATGAAATAGATACTAACATCACATTCCACAAGGAAGTAACGCGTTTCAACTTTTATTTTTATATAAATATTCACTAAAACCGAAAATTAACGTACTACTAAAACTAGCCTACATGAATTTGATTTTTGCCTCACTTGTGACAGTTCGTTTGATATGAAACTATAACTCTAGCCAAATTCGATGTAGAATAAATGTCAACAAACAAAAACATTTGATTTTTAGGGTTTTCATCCCAGACTCTCTCACAGTTACAACAATTTCAATATTTTCCTACGAAATTCAGTTAGATTATGGATAATACTAAATCTTGAAGCCATGTTTATAATGAATATTATTCAAGATAAGTTTAAATGACACAAAAATGACCAGTAATAAATTTTTTGTAAAACTGTGTCATCCCTAGTGACTTTTTGATTTGAAGGGAGAGATTGCAAACATTCGAGTTCTAGTGGTAATTCAAGTTTAGAATCGGAAATAGATGCTGGATGTTATAATATGTAGTAAATTCATATTATTATTATTATTTATAATAATTGGCTAAGTATTATTTCTACATAACCCAATTACCTACTTACCTATTTAAATTCCAGTTACGAGAGCAGGCCGTGGGGGCAGAGGAAGCTTTAATAATGAGCATTGAAAAAATGTTCTTTTCCTATGTCATCATTGGTAGCCTAGGAACGTTTTGTTATTAAACATTCTACATCGAATTTGGCTAGAGTATATCATTCTATGCGTTATTATTCTAAGACTTTACATATGTAAAGTCCAATGATCAATGATCTTTTTTTAATATCAAGTAAACTAAAGAAAATACTCACAAAGTGCGATACACATATTTCAGATCGCTTTCATTTCATTAGTAATAAAATAAATTCTAAATTAAAGCCAGGGTCCCTGCCACTCGATCACAGCAAAATGATCGTACCACAAAAACTCTAATTCGAGCTGAGGTAGAATCTACACTTAAGTAAAAAAATAATCTCAGTACAGAGTACTAAAAAACCGACCTCAAAAGTACGTGGAATTACGTCTATTTGCTAAGTTTCATTGAAATATCCCCTAGTTCGCCACTATACAGGACTTGACGCTGGAGATAATAAAAATAGGTTCTCACTACGACACTACTCAAAGTATATTGAGAGAAAAACGCCTTGAATGGAAAAAATAGCAAAATCAACCATTAAAGTAATTGCTCCTAAATTAAAGTTAGGCGCTATTTATAAAAGTGAATCTTCATGCGTGAACAGCCACCCTTCGATATGGATGATTTTCTTCAAAATGAAATGGGACCACTATGGAAGTACCGCCTTTCCAACAAAAAAAAGAATCATGAAAATCGGTTCACAAATACCGGAGTTATCGCGTAATGAAAGAAAACACTCACGCCCGAGAAGTAATTATTAAATATTTTATTCAAAAATCTTATACATTTTATATTGGTTCCACATTTTGAAAATGATAGGAGTCAAAGTATTTCCTTTTTTTTTACCCGACTCCACATACACGCAGGTATTCTCAAATGAGGTTTCATTACCTCTAACACGTAACATACATCCAAAAAAAAAGAAATAAAAGAACATACAGTCGAATTGAGAACCTCCTCCTTTTTTGAAGTCGGTTAAAAAACAATTGTATAATTTACTGTGTTGTACTACTGATTATTTGATTCAAAATTTTTCGATACGTTTGGCATTACTTCACCGCGTCGAATGTAGTTTTGTAATGCTATAAGTACAGCTGGGTGTAATAGATACAGCTATGGTCACGAGATAAAGGGTATATATATTCTCGAACTAATGCTCACTACCTAATTTCCGCGGCAATTTTTACTATCTAACCGCCTCCGTGGCCGAACGGTTACCATGCCGGTCTGCCACGCAGAGGTCCTGGTTTCGATTCCCGAACCGGGAGAAATATTTGTATGACTATTTTTATTTTTTTCGTGATATTGGGTGGTTGTCTATGTGTGTATCCATGGCACCCGTGATACAGGGTGTACCTAGTGCAGGGCTATGAGTGTGTGCGCGTTATTATTATCTAAGTATTCGGTTTTTTGTTGTCGTGAAATATTATTTGATAATTAGACTATAATACTAGTATGAGAATTATTGTAGCAACTTTTATAGAGTTACAAGAGATAGGCTACGCAGCTACGAAAAGAGCTACGAAAATCAGTTCCGAAAATGGAAGCAGAAAACATAGGCATTTCAACAGGAGAGTCCCATAAGTGGAAGCTCACCCGTACGCAAGGTAGTCAATGTAGCTTATTCTATCTGGTTCTGTACAAAATTCTATCCTAGATATAATGGTGTGAACACTTTGACAGCGCGTTTTATTTCGATGTCAACGCCATCTTTACACCAAAATTGGGTTGTGGAAAGATGGGCAAACGCCCGCGGCCTGACACTTTGTTCAAATCAGGTTACAATATATTAACGCCAGAAATCGAGGGCAAAAACTATTTACAACTACTTAAATATTGTTGCTAATTGTGTTGTGATCAAATTTAATGGTTTTGTTTTCTAATCTAGATGATTCGATTTGTCGTTCTATTGAACCGATACGTTTAAAAATTGCATTGAAATAAATTGATACAAAAAATCGTTAGATCGTACGTACATCAATCAATTTTCATAAAAACCCAATTGTAATATGCATCCTTAGTAATGAGAATCCATAGTACTGCAAGGTGGGTATTGTGTGTGACGTTGCCTCTTCGTTTGAAAAAGATTTTTTCCTTGAAATTTGTAATAAGTGTAAAATAATACCAAATTACATATTCCTCGTCCTTGACCGCGATTTTGAACGGAAATGGATTAGAACCCAACGTTTTGGGCAAAAACCCACTTATAATCCGAGCGAGTTGAAAGGGCTTTAACCCACTGCCCATCTCTGGGGTCTGTGACAACCCTGTACACTGGCTGATCTGGGGTTCATAAATTCCTGTGTGCACAGGTTATAGTGCACTTCTCGTGTACGCCAGGGGTCGGTAGGTCAGTATAATCAAAACTAACGTAGAAAGATATGGGGCTGCCCATCTTTGGGTGTTACAGTTTTAAATAACCGAATGAAATAATACAATAAATATACTTACACAACACGTTGATTGTATGCGTAGCAACCACATTCTCAGTGAGCTGCGTGTTGATACCATGACAAACTACCACGATAGACCGACGGTTTGGCTCCACAACCACGGTGATGTTCGATGTTGTTATCCAGCCACCTGTACAAAAAATCATTTAATAAATACAAATACAAAATATTTGTTTCCAATGTTATCATTGGTTAGTAATACAAACAAAAAACTTACACACTAATGTTAGTAAATTACAAATATTCACTCTGTTTAGGGTACGTGTGAATTTTGGTGCAGTGTTCAAGGAATGAACCTTGGCCCTGCCAGCAATGATACTCAGGAGGCCGCTGTCACGGATTCTGCGCATCAAGGAGGTCACTCTTGTTCGCATGATGGCAGCGAACCCATCTATTTGTGCATAAGCGAACATTCCCGAGGCGCTGCAGAATCGGGGCACAACAGCATCCTAAATATACTAGTGTATACAACTCGTACGGAGCTGAGAGCTTTCTGGTTGTAGTTAACCCATAGGCTGCAGGTGTAAAAGGTCTGGCAGTAAGCTTTAACTTTACTAGCACACCTAGCAAACCTACGGGTTGTTGCTCTGCACTGCCGGCGCCCTACATTCTCTTTCAATATTTGTATTATCTTCTAAGGACTCGACCCAGAAGCCAAGGTACTTAAATTTTGTGACTTTATTGAGAGGCGTGCAACGCTATAATAATATAATTTTTTTCAGAGAAAAACGAATTAGTCACTTCCCGTGAAAGATCATTAAAATTATGGCTAGAACTAGCTCATTTAAAATTTGTCTCATGTAGACTTAAATACTTAGATATGTTTTAATTATTTCTTAAAATATTCTAACGACGGTTTTATTCAAGGGTAGCTAATACAATTTGAAGTTCAGCAATGGTAAAATCTTAAAATTAGTAGCAGTGCGATATAGCAATTATGATAGTAAGTTGTTAGTTGTTATTCTGCTAAAATTGTAGGGTTAAAGCACATAAGTCAAAAAAGTGCTTCATTTGTTAATATACAATTATATATTTTTTATGTTGTTTATAGTATTGGAAGACGTGAAAAGAATGAAGATAAAGACACCTCTAAAGTTACAAATTTATGAAGTTACAAATGAATTTGACTTATGTGCTTTAGTCTGCCGACCTTAGAATTTAGTTCCAATGGCGGTTGAGTCTCAATAGAGTCCACTGACACTGTCGATCACTAAAGATCTATTTTGCACTAAAACTACCACGAAAATTGCTTACACCTTAATTTTTACCTCGTTTAATGAGCAATTTATTATTCAAATTAGGTGCGTGTTTTATGGCAAATAATTAGTATACTACGTCATCGACGTGTCGTCATTGTAATTGCAGTGAATAAGTAAGTAGCTCGTAGTCTAGCCACTGATAAGCCACTGTTGTTAACTTTTATCAGAATACCAAACGTACAAAATAGTTAGTATTTTGTATTGTCTTGACACTCTAATGAGATGATTTAAAATTAGGAGAATTTGGGCACAGGTATTGTGAAAATTTCGAAAAAACTTGTTAAGAGTCGACACTCTATTATATATTTATATAATACGGTTTATTTTGCTTGGGTCGAGCGGTAGGGACACTAGCTTTATTTCAGAATAAGTTTTTTACAAAAGAAATTAACGCCATTTGAATAATTTCAGTACGGATTACTAAAAACCCGAACCCAAAAGTCATTCATCCCTTAGTTTGCCACCCTTACAGGTGGAATACTTTCTTCAAATTTAAATGGGACCACATTTGAAGTACCTTCTTTCTAACAAAAAAAAAATCATCAAAATCGGTTCACAAAGAGTTATCGCGTAACATACATAAAAAAAAACATACAGTCGAATTGAGAACCTCCTCCTTTTTTTTGAAGTCGGTTAAAAATGTATACTATACGTGTTCTGTTTAGTTCATTTGATATAAAAAAATATCATTGGTATATGTAAGGTACTTATTGAATAGATTGGTTTCTTGTAAAATTTCGAGGTAATTTAGTGTCTTTTTAGTACCGTGAAAATTTTTATGAATCATGTTTCACTTCGTATACTAAACATATCCTTAATTTGACTATATATATTTTCCAAAATAATTGATTCAACATTTTCACTGTTAGCAGAATCAACCATAGCCATTTGAGGTTGTGTCGACTGCTAATACAAAAAAGTAATGCTGCAAAGGCATGTGTAGACTCGTAGTTAGGATTTAATCTACATTCATGCGCTTTGCGCAGACAATCTAACGAGATTTCCCGAATGAATTAACGGGGTTTAGACCCTTTTAGGGAGTCACTACACTTATCGGCACGTATTCGCATTAACCCTCTCACATATAGGTAGCACAGACAGCCCTGCATGCAGAGCGTGCACGGCTGCACACATCCTACTACAGTGCTCCGGCGTGGCCAATTACAGCCTTGACGTCGAGTTGCGGACACCAGCTCGTTACACCAAGTATTAAGTAAGCCTCTCACAAGAATCTTTACGCCCATGTAATAAGAGAGACAATGACGTTGTGCGTATCGTGACAAGGATCCGAGCGGTGATGAGTCCCTTATATAAGATATCTAGGTACCCAAAAACAAATAACAGATTCATGCAAACTAATTCCAATTTCACTTTACTTCAAAACCTAAAACTTCTAATACGAAATTTCTCTAGCTCGTTGTAAGTATATAATGAGATAAAATACATCACCAGGCACGCTGCCAAAGAGGATGCGAGCAGACAAAGATTTAAGACCAATAGTTGACTTCATGCAGAATAAATGGTGCTGCGAAAGCGTATTGATTTTAGAAAATTTTTGGCAATTTATGTTCTCAAATGTTTCGGGTCACTAATTTTAGTTAGACATGATGGACGGACTCTATTTCATTATTCACTCAATTCAGGTTTCAAAATATAACCGCTCACGCGATGCGCTCATCCTACCGCAAAATGGCGGCTGTTTGGTTTCGCAAATTAGAAAAGGATTCCATTTAAATACAAGTTTTTAAAAATAAAAATTATTATTCTGCATTGCTAAATAAACACCCTCCGTACTGCTAACAAAAACATCTCAAATAAAATGTAGTATACACCGCAATTCCTGCACTTAAAAAGCACTAATGAAATTTTTGGCGTACTTGGGTAAATATGATAATATTCCGTTTGAATGGTTCTAATGTTTACCATGAAATTACTCCTTAAAGTATAGTTTATAAACATTTATATTCAGGGTAAACTTAAAAAACGCAACTTACGGTATGTTTTCAATAAATAAACACCGACATCACCAGCCCAAACAATAACACACACGATTGTCGTGACGTATTTTTGAAGTTTTTTATTTTTTTAAATGACAGATCCAGGCATTAAAAACGAAATAGCAATTAATATTAGTTCTTTTACCTGTTATAACTTCGATATCCGATAAATCGGTATAAAATCATCACCGGCACCTCTAGGTGTGGTATGCTTCCAGAGACGCATGAATCGCGTGAGCGGTTAAGTTGTATAGAAGTTGACGTGAAATATATCTTAATTATTAAAAAAAAAACCGACCTCTAAAGTTCGTGGTAAGTAAATAAGTATCTATTTGCCAAGTTTTACCGAAATTGGTTACCGGAAATTTCGTAAAACTGTATTCATTCCCTAGTTTGTGAAATATACAAATGCCAAAAATTTGCGATTTCTCATTTAAAAATTCGGACACTGTATAGTATTTTTTAATACTCAATAAAATGTTTATTATTTTTTTAATAGCGTACCTAAGTTAGGTAAATTATTGCAAATTTTATCAGGCTATAGAAATTTATTCTTAGAACAACTTGAACGTGGAATGACGTAGTTTTTCCGTGTACATCTGTCTGTGTTTCACCCGACTGAAGATTTTGCGGGTGTTGTCTTGTAAATTATGTATCCTTAGACATGTGCCACAGACATATTGAGTGGAAACCATGCACGCGTTGTGATACACGGCCGAATTTGTTTGCTGTTAGAAAACCAGTTCTGGGTAATTTTCTGGTTAGTTTTCTCAACATAATTTTGGTGGCAATTTCTATTATTTAAGAGCCGATACTATTTCAGCTTGAATTTACATTTTTCCCATACTAATACGGTTCATTTACCATGGGTCGAGCGACAGGGACTCTGGCTTTATTTCAGAATTTATTGTATTACAAACGATATCAAAGCCATTTGAAAAATGTATGTTTTATTTAGTTCAGTTGATACAAAAAGAAATCTTTGGCATGTGTAAGGTACCTATTGAATACAGTGGTTTTCTTGTAAAATTTTGAGGTGAGTTTGTGTGTTCTTTCTACAGGGAAAATTTTTAAGAGTCGTGTTTTCACTCCTTATACTAATCAGTGTACTTATATCCTTAATTTTACTGTATGTTTTTTTCAAAATGATTGATCCAACACTTTCACTGTTATGCGTTATCAACCAAAGCCATTTGAGGTTGTATAGACTTTTAAAAAATAAAAATTATCACCGAAATTGGTTACAGAAAATTAACCTCAAAATTACCCATGGACACAAAAAAGGCGCAAAAGTATTTTCGTTGGAAAAAGAAGACTCACCTTCAGGAGAAATAACCGTACGATTGCTAGCCTCTTTATGATGTTTCCCCAATACCAGCCATTTGACGTCAGCGGCAGGGTTAGAAGGTGCCGTGCTGCAACTGAGGGGCACTGGATCCCCCACGCGAGCTTCCGATGGACCCGATATCGTCACGTGAGATGGGGAAACTGTAACAAAAGACAAGGATTTTTGAAATATTTTTGTAAAAACTGTAAATGACAATTGTAACGATAGAGCTCCTTGTCCTGACCTTACCTATTGCCAAGCAGTCAGTATTACTGTGTTCCGGTTTTGAACGGTAAGGGTGCTGGTGAAATTACAGGCACATGGGACTTTTCGACTTATGTCTCAGGGTGACGGGCGCAGCGGCAGTGCCCCTCAGATCTTTTTAAATCAGATTTAAAGCTCTGAGTGGCACTGCAACTGAGCATCATCAGGCACACGACTTGTTCGTCCCGTCACTTGATATTATAAAAAAAAATCATTTTAATAATTGATTCATAATAGATTTGTATAGCTATTGTTGTCCTTTTTGGTTATGAAAATATTTATTTTTCATTTAGTCCCATAGTTAAATACTGAATATTTAAGTTTTGGTGATCTAATGCATTGCAATGCAAAGCGCGTTAGACTATATTACAATATCAAAAATTATTATATTTAAAGGTGACAAATTCAAAATGAATAGTAAAGAAGACAAGATCAAATACAATTTAAAAGACGTAACAATTATCATAGTGTACATATTTTGTGTAAATGAACAGAAGATTCTTGTAAATGGACACAAAAAAGAAGATGGACTAATTTATATTTTGGAATGGACAGATTCGAGGCTTGAACCGTTTCGTTTTATGGCTATGGGACAACGAGCTTTTACGTTCAGAGAATGTGCTTACCAAAATTGTTTTTTAACAGACGATGTAGAATATTTTGACCATATTACGGATTTCGATGTTTTGCTTATGGGCGTAAAGAGCCTTAATGAATCTTTTAACTTTCCACACAAAAGAAAAAGACGTCAAAAGTATGTGTTTGTCGCTTTAGAATCGTCAGTGAATTACCCTTTGGGTGATAAATTTAATAATATTTTTAACCTCACATGGACATATAAGTTAGATTCAGACGCGCCTCTCGGCTATATTGTAGTAAAAAATCGATACGGTGAAATAATTGGCCCAAAAAAAGATATGCATTGGTTGGACATAAACAAAATGAAGCCAATTAGCAAATATATCAAAAGGAAGTTAAGGAATAAAAATACGGCAGCAGCCTGGTTCGTGTCCAATTGCAACGCGACAAATAATCGTTCAGATTACATCGATAAATTATCAAATGAATTATCGTTACTTGAACACAGCATAGATATATACGGTGACTGTGGAAATTATAACTGCACAAGGGATGATATGGTGCAACAATGTTTTGCTAAAATCGAATCGGACTTCTATTTCTATTTGGCGTTTGAGAATTCCTTTTGTGAAGATTATGTGACGGAGAAAATTCTAAACGGGTTGGAACATTTTTCAGTGCCTGTTGTGTACGGGGGAGGAAATTATAGCAGGTACGTATTGTAAAAAGAAGAGAAACACTTGGATTTGGGATTTTGTAATTAATCTCTTCTGTACAAACAATTTATAGGGATTAAACCTATTTTTCCGGATTTAAATCGCGCGGTTGACTGTCAACCATGACCATAGCCTGTAAAGGGCCCGAAGCGTCGGTTTGTTTACAAATATAGGCGATATAAATCCGGAAAAATAGCTTCATTTCCTATGTGTTACAATCGCGAAAACCTAAGAACTCGATACAAACAATTTATGTCAAAAATCAATATAAGCGCCACCTTTTGAGGATTTCAAAGAAGCTTGTCAACCTTTACCCTTTCATGGATATTAATGGCGTTTGCCGTAAAATTAAATATTAGAATACGATAGTACGGGTTATTCCGTTTCGCTTTGTGGACTTCAAAAAACCACAGAACAATAAATACAGCAACAAGTGTTTAGTTTGAGAGGTACGTGTGCCAACAGTTCGCGGAGTTCCGCAAACTTGAGTTCACTCCGCTATTTTCGCTTTGTACGTTATACGTGCTGTCAATTATCTCGCGCAAAACCTCGAAAATCGTAGAAAAATGCCATTCATTTTGGTACTTTGAAGGACAGTCGCACTTGTAATTATTATCTGTGATAATGTTTTGTATCATCATTAATTCTTATTTTATCTAATTTTCAATTTTCTATCTGACGAAAGTACACTGTACCGCTGCAATAATATGGTCGCTTCTTTTATGAAAAATGAAGTACACATGTCGAATTAACCGTCGTTCAGCTATTAACAGCTAGATGGCAGCACATTGATTGAAATTTCAATATAAAATCGAAACGTATCTGTGTAAAGAGGGCTATTGTTTCAGATTCATACCAAAAGGAATATACCTAGATGCAAATCTTCTCACCCCAAAAGAACTAGCTAAGACGATGGTGGAGGCAATAGACAACATCGACAAATACTACAACTTCTTCAAATGGCATAGATACTACAGTTTTCATAGTACTGAAGAATATGGTTTTACAGATGAAATTTGCGCTTTATGTAAATTACTTAATGATAATACGGAAAATGTTTACGTAGATTTTGTAAATTGGTGGAATAAATAAGTAGATTTGCTTGAAAATCGTATCAATAAACAGAGGTCTATATTAGTAAACAATTATCAATTAATAAATTTGTTACTTAAGTCTTTATTAACAAATTTCACTGAAGTGCACCTCGATTAACGATTAATTACAAATTACTTGAGACACATCAATATTTTGCTTAAGACACACCTCAAGATCGTTATTAAGTGCAGGGTTTTGGTGACATGGGACGCTATCACCCAAGATGTCCATGATTATAGTCTATTATATTAATTAATGCAAGAGTATTTGAGATGCAATTTTCAGATCTGAGTGAGACGAAGAGCTGTTTATTACTTTTTAAATTCGTAAATGGTAGCATTATCATTATCTTTGTCACCAATGTTCGTAAGGCCAACAATTCAAGTTCTTTAAAGTATCTCAGAGTAGCAAATTCTTTAACAATAACCAACTTACACTTTACACCTTACTAACGAGCCCTTATTTTTTTTTGTTAAAAACAAATAAAGAAAAAAGAACAGAAGCACTTCGTGCGTATGGGTGGTGTGTCAACGGCATAAGAAAGGAATGTTCCAGACTTTCTAGTTCAGTTCGATGAGGGTAGAACTAAATTGAAAACTTCATTGACAGAATAACGACAAGAAGGTCTCTGGTTTACCAGGCTAGTAGTCTCTGCCTATCTCATCGAGATACCAGCATGATCGCGTCTATATTACACAGCTATTTCTAGATCTATGAGATTATGTTATTTTCTATCTTTGTGCGAATAATAGTTTTGATGTCCAAGAAAATTTCAGGCAGAAAATAGACTTTGGGTTAATATTGTCGTGATTGCATAAAAAGTCCGTTATTCCAATGTAGATACGGAGCACTGAAAAGTCAGATAAATCTGACAGATATTATTCGGCGATCCCGGAACTCTATATAACTTTTTCGATATATCATCTCAGATTTTGGCTTAACTTGCTTAGCATAGGTCGTTTGGAGGCAATCCTTTCTTGAGTAATACTATCATATCGATAGCCTGAGCCGTATCGTGTTAAATCCCTGCTAAAGACAATTAAAAAAAAACGATAATTTCTAATTTGTATTTGGTCATTATTGTAGGGGCCAATTTTCCGTAGTTATAGTTACTCTGGTGATTAGTCACCGTGCGTACAGGTACAGATTACTTAATAGCTATTACGTAGTAGATATTCGTACATCACTCTCATACAAAATCGAAAATATTTACGCTATAATACCATATCAAATCTGACTAATGGCACCAGGCCCTCACAACTAGGAAAAATGAACCTAAGCACGCGCTCAGAGAGGTGAAAATAACGTTGTCGTGCGGAGCCGAATGCTCATAAATGAAATACTTGTATGACCGCTTGTGCCGACGTCGGTACACACAGGCACTTATTGAGCGAGTGGTGGAGCCCTGGTATATGCTATTTCTACGTTTAGGACGTGGTTATTGCACAATAAAATCATCAAGATCAACCTTTTTATACGTCCCACTGCTGGGCACGGGTCTCTTCTCAGGCGAGGGTTCAGGCCATGGTGACCCAATGCAGATTGGGGACTTCACACGTTTTCCGAGGGTTGTTAATTTTCTTCGATGTGGAGGTTTCGTTACTATGTTTTCCTTCATCGAAAAGTCATGGTTGTTAATACTTCTATTAACATTATACATAAATTTAGTTTAGGTAAGATGCCGCTAGATGGCGTTGAACCTTTTATGCAATTTTCTAAAACGCGCTATTGAGTTGTTCACGGAAACTGTATAAATGTGGAGTAATTTACAAATAAAAGCGTGTTATTGGAACATACAGGCTGTTTCATTTTGGGTATTTTTGGGACGCTATACATGGTAAATTCCGAAATCTTAGAGCTACGAGCCCGGATTTGAACCCAGAACCTCTGCTTGGGAAGCGGTGGAAATATTTTTTCAGAACAAATGTTGAATAAATAATAAAGGCCGTCCTTTATGTAAATAGAGCTGGGCGATAATGAATGTAAAAAGTTCGTATATTTGTTTAGAAAATAGACAGATTGTTCACTGCACTACATGCTGCAGAACTCTCGATCCCGGATTGGCTAATTAGCTTTAGTACTCGGTCTGCGCTTTGAGCAGGGCATGCTCCCAATGATCTTGTCGTGTTCTGCAAACTGTATTCGCAAAAACTCTGTATCAATTGATGCTGATGTCGGATGCGGAAGCTGATTTAAAAAAATATGCGGTTGATCCACGAATGCAGATGTAGACTAGCAGAACTAGACTGAAAAAATTAGCGGGCGAAAGACGAAAATTCGTATTTTTAAACAGCGCGCCATTGGAATTCGCAAAAAGTGGTAGTGACGTAGTTTGTTGACGAATTTATTTTCAAACAGAATAGATGACATATTATTTACTCTTATATTTAGATATATTTTCATATTCAATTCTAATACTGGGAAAACGTAATCAGAAGATTAACAGGAAAAGTTTACTTTCAAAATAATCTCTTTGACAAATTTTGAGTTCCGCACATCTTTGCTCA